TTTATCTTTATTATTGCATGTTTATTTTCTTTAATTATATTCTCCCATTTGATTTTGATTCTCTAAATAAAACTGAGCGATTGTATCTGTGGTACTTGAGTGATCTAGAAACCCAATCCAGATGACGATATCGTTATTGACTTACCACTTTATTAAAGCTTGACACGTACACTTGCGGTAAGCAATTTCTGCTACAATAACTTTTGTGTATAGGGCTATATCCAATTAACACACATGGATGAGTTCTTTTTGAGAACTTATTTCTACCATAGTCTTAAAGATAAGGAAAACATTTTCACCCAAAAACCTTAATACTATTATACTTAGGAGCTTTTTTTAAAATTATTTTTGAGAAGGGATTTGGTCATTGAGGGACTTAGAACACATTCTATTGATCAGATAAATAGCAGTAAGAAAAAAATCTACCCAATATTTTAATAGAACATTAGATTGGAATAAAAGTGTCCAATAACGTGCCATATTCTATTATATGACGATGTTTTCTTTCGACCATCCCATTTTGTTAAGGTGTATAAAGGCAACAGAATTGATGGTGGATTCCACTTTCTACTATGAGGTTCTTAAATGCAAAGGATGTGAATTCTCCTCCTCCATCACTTTGAAAGACTTTGATTTTCGTGCCAAATTGGTTCTCAACTAACATTTTGAACTTTTTAAAGCAAGAGAAAAAATCTGACTTTCATTTGAGTGGGTATAATAAGTAAATCTTGAAAAATCATCAACAAAAAATGCATAATATTTAAAGTTTTGACAAGATATAATAGGGTCTAAGCCCCATAAGTCACAATAAATCTTATCCAAAGTAAATAAACTAAAATCATTTATAGAATTGAAAGGTAGTATGCAGCTTTTCCCTATTTGACAACTCTCACAAATCTTCTCTGATTTCTTCCAGCAGCCTACATTTATCCGACTTTGTTCACACAAAGTTTTGAGGGATTTCTCATTGACATGACATATCCGTTTATGCCATAGAGAAACATCATAACTTTTCTGTGTTGTTGCTATTACAAAGGCTTCCAGTTGCTATTTTGTTCATCCAATGCATACAGTCTCTCCTTTTTACTTCCTTTAGCAAGTATCTGACCATGCTTGTTCTTTATAACAAATTTATTAGCATGGAAAGTAATTGTGCAATAATTATCTTTTGTAAGCTTGCTAATGGAGAGTAAATTTTTTTCCATTCTAGGAACAGTCAAAACATTTTTTAGTTTTAGATCTTTAAACTTATTTGTTATTAGTTATTGTTCCTTGTCCTATGAGATATATCAAGCTGATTGTCATTTCCTACAAAAATCTTCTCATGTCTTTTATAAGGTTGATAGTTGAGGATCTTTCTTGGGTTATTTAAGATGTGAGATGTGGCCCCAGAGTCAGCATACAACAATGGATCGACTCCTTCGTTGAGATTCAATACGGCTAGAGCTTTTGGAACATTCTCTGATTGGAATGAGTGGTCAAATCTATTCCAACATTCTAGTGTTGTATAGTTTCCTTTGCCACAAATCTGACACATTATTTTGTCCATTTTATAACATGAGGAGTTAACAAACCTGAGTCAGCATTTCTCTTTAGGAAGATGTGTTTTTCCATGGGCTTGTGTAGTTGGTAGATTTTCCTTGTGGAGATCTTCTTCCTCTAGAACAGAATATTCTTCCTCTGCCTCTTCCGTTGTGAGCACAAAACGCTTGGTTGTGGTCTAGTTATGATGCCTTTTCTTCCTCTATATCGGCATTGACCATTACCTGATGTGCCTTTAAGAGCTAGAATGAATTCATTGTAGGTTGGGTATGGAGCTCTGGATAGCATTGCTCTCTTCAATCCTTGGCATTTTGTCCCCAAGCCTCTAGCTACATGGAATACTTTTATGAGGTCATCCATCGGTTTCTTCATAGCTGCAAGTTGATCACATTGAGATTTAATTTTCTCTAAGTATTCATCGAATGAGAGACTTTCCTTTTTCAGACTAAGAATAGCTTCATTTAAGTGGATTTCATTCAATTTTGTCACAGTAAGGAGTTGTTCTTCTGGTGATTTCCACATTTTGTAAGTTGATTTCGTTCCTTCAATTGTCGCCAACACTTCCTCAGTTATGATGCCTAGAAGCCATGAGGTTAGAAGGTCAGCATTATTGAGCCAAATGTCGTATCGAGGATTTGGAGTAGTTTCTCCATCTTGTCTGTCAAGAGAATTTCTCGTTCACTGCTTTCCTTGAGATGATGTTCAATCCCAAGACTTCTCACCAATGGTATAACTTGTGACTTCTACGATAGGTAATTGGAGGCACTCAACTTTATGGAGATTAAACTTGAGCATTAGTGGGAGGATTGGATTGTGAGTGCTGTCTCTGATTTTGTCATAGTGAAACGTTGCGAATTCGATCGGTGTTATACTCTTGCTTGATACCATGAAAAAATGGATGATAAACTAAGCTAGGATTTCTTGAAGCCTTAACAATCAGTATGTAAAAAAGACAGCAAAAAAAATGCTTTTGTTGTAGACTAGCTAGTTTCAATTATCAAAATGAAAACAAATATGTTTCCAAAAAAGTTGTCACTGCTCGAAAGAGAAAAAAAGTGTAAATATACAATATGACAACACACTTGCTTGAGCTAAGTAAGGTAAATTTCCAACGGCTAGGGGTAAATTAAAAAGTACATAAATGATGTATCAAGGGGGACTTGACTTGTCGTGGCTTGATCACTCAATACTTATTTTCGATCTTACATTGCTTCACCCATGACAATGCTTTTAAATATTCGGCAACATTCATTTGTTTTACGTTATTTATATATTGCCTTCGGAGTAAATTAGTATTCAACAATGAACATTCTAGAAATTAAATCATGAGACTTACAGTAAATCTAAGAAAATGAGTTATCATTTTTTTTTCTCAAAGGAAAAATGAATTATATGTTGATTACCCCTTTCTTGACTTCAATAGCTTGAAAAAAGTAAAGAAAAAAAAACAAAAACATTCAATGGAAAGGAGAACATAATAGAAGGTTAAATTTTAAACTTTGAGGAATGGGTTAAATTTTCAGTAAAATTATAGAAGGTTGCGTGAGAGAAGGGAATTAAGTTGGTTGGAGAGAGAGGTTAATCGCACATATATTCATAGTATATATATTTGAATTAATCGTAGGTGTTTGGAAGATTTTAATCGTGGATATCGATCATAATCACAAAAAGATTTTAATTGTGGTAACCACAGAAATCTGTCTATGAAAATATCAAATGTCAATATAGGTATAGATAAAAAATTCGTAAGATAATTTCTATCTAAAAATATCGATAAAATGTCAATGTAGATATAGATAAAAAAATTCGTAAGATATATTTAAATTAATAGATAAGCATTTTACTTTATTCTAAATAAGTTTAAAATATTTAATATTAATATTATGTATATATTGGTGATATTTTGTTGATATATTTCATAGTTTGACGATTTTTTTTTCACAATACTATGAAAATATCAATTTATCTCTCATATCAATGTCAACCTCATGAAAATGTCGACATCTGTGTTAGTTATTTTTTATTTACTTTTTGTAAATAAAATTTAAATTAAAATTTAGGTTGTTATAAATGTAATATAATTTAAGTTTAAAAATACGTAAGTCACGTTTAGTTTTTTAATGTCAATTTTAGTTTCTTACTTTTTAATTTTTGTTTTTTCATTTCCTCATCTTTCATTTTCATTTTTATTTTTTTATTTCATTAATTTCTTTCGATGTTGCTACACTTCACTCACTACATTTATTGAAATGTAGTCGGGGTTGTCAAAATAGGGATGATCCTTTCCTAACTGAAGATGAAAGAGAACGCATTCTTTTGTCAATCTTTGAAGACAAATTGAGTGAGATGGAACCTATAATAAGATTAAAAGAGATCAGAAATAGTAAGCGYAGTATCTATCCATGCCATATTAGAGCACTCAAAGCCTTGAATCGGCAAAAATCCTTGAATCTTCGTTTCAGTTCCGTAAAGGGGTAAATATCCGGATTCATAGCCCATTGAATACCCGGTTCCCCCAGCGGAAGGAGTATACGCGGGCCTTTCGATACAATCAAATAGAAAGCCCCAAGGGCACCATATTCTAGGAGCCAACTTTTTTTTTCTCAAGATCAAGAGGTGATTTCGGAGAATCCACCAACCGACAAATCCGTAGCCCAGGTGACTCACAGCCTCCCTCTCGCCCAAATGAAATGGGATGAATTAAATCAATAAGCTTTTTGATTGATTCAGGGCGCTGCGAAACCTAATTCAATCAAGGCTAGGGGGGCTTACTTTTCCTGACGTTCGTATCTCTTTTTCCAATTTCGGTCTCGATTAGTTTACAAGATTGAATGGCTAATTTTCCTCCGGACCCTCGATTCGATTGTTTTCCAAGAATGTTGAGCCGGGTATGTAAGCCGTGTATCTGGGAGGAAGTTAAAAGAAGGGCTTTCGCTTTTTTGCACCMTGTTTTGGTCTTGCAGCTATTTAAATTAAATAATAATAGAAAAAAAATTATAAATTTGTGTAAACTTGTGTTAAAGGGTTATGTATGAAATTTGTGTTAAAAATATAGAAACACCTTCAAGAGTTATGTATAAAACTTGTGTTAAAATATAGAGACAAAATAAACATTTTAAAGTAGAACAATCAAAATAAACCAAAATCAAAATAAACCAAAATAAAAAACCAAATGACGAAATTAGTATTTAAACTTATTATTTATTTATAATTCTCTTTTAAGAAACACATGACCTTATCAGAAAACTGCATCAAACTTCTACCATAAAAAGTATGAATCACATAATTAAAACATATTATACAAACATAATCATCGAGCTTCATCAATTTATTTACTTTTTACAAATTCAACAAAAGCCTAGTTAACAAGATGATTTCAAAAGGAAAAGAAAAAATTCGACACAACTAATCAACCATATTAGAAAGAGATGGAGCTCCAATCACACCATACAAGGTTCTTATTTAAGGTGAGACTCAATGTCTTTGGCGATGCCATTCATGAGATCGAGATATTGATAAGGATAAGGAGAACCATCGTCGAGTTTCTCATATTCTAAGGTTAGAACTACTAAACTATGTCTAGGACTCTTTGGTAGAACTTTATGTATTGCGTTGAAGGTTTTGTAATGCTTGAACACATCTCCTCCCAATCCGATTAGGGATACTGAGAGATTTTTGTCATCAAATTCCACTCGTTCTTTGAAAAGTTCATCCTTACCATCTTATCAAATTTTATCAAATTAAATGCAAAAACAAAGAGGGGTCAATTGCTTAGAATAAAAGAGGGTGTTCATGAAAATAAATAAATAAATAAATAAGGTCTCGTTTGATAACAATTTGGATTTTAGTCTACCGTTTTAAAAAGTTAAAATTTCATAAAAACACACCAAAAGTTCAAAAACAAAAACAAGTTTTTCAAAACTATTTTTCTTCCTTTGGTTTAAATTTTGAAAAAGTTTTTAACAAGTATATACCAAAACAAAAAATACATAGCTAAAAATAGTATTTACGAGCTTTAATATTTCAAAAATATAATAGAAAACCAAAAACGATATAGTTATCAAATATGACTTAACAAATCAGCATTGTTGTTATATATACCGATCTATACTTCGAGATCTTGATGTAGTGCCATGGCTATGGGTGTACCAAACACCCCATGAACTTCAACTTCTTGAATGATTTTGGAGAAAATCTTTGGGACATGGAAAGTTTCATTGTTGAAGACTTCGTGGTACTTCTCTGCCGGAGCATTTATTTCTAATTCACTAACTGACTTCCAACAAGAGACATGGTTTCAACTTCAACACTCTTAAATTGCTTCACACATACAATAAATACACAAGAGTGGCTTTCCTTATTGTGCAGCTCCAACATTGAATTTATATCATTATTATTTATAATTATTTTGATATAATTACTTGCTGAGGGATTGGATAACATGTCAATCGAAAACGGATCCACGTAGGGATCAAAGGCACGTGCCCTCTCTATTTAATAAAATTATATTATTGACTCTTTACAAGAATATGATGACTTTTTTGTCTGGTGGCTTACACGTGCGCCTCTGGTAAAATCCATGCCATGTAACTCTGTCCTTGGTTCAAATCTCAAAGCTTTAAAAACTTGAATTTCTATTATGAAAAATGGAACATGTATTTTTCATTTAAAGCAAATAATTTAGAATTCTGTATCTCGGTAGTTATTGGATGAGAATACATTATATTTTTTTAATGAATTCAAATTTATTGAATAAATTACGAAATAATGACAAATTTATAATGTTGTACTCGTTAACTTTGTTTCTTATTCGGTCCCTATCAATCGATAAAGACCCGACAAAATTTGTTTGGGCAGTGATAGATTAGTTTATCAAATGGGTTGAGGCTAAGCTATTAGAAACTAAATCAGAAGTTAAAATTAGAAATTTTGTTTGCTAGAACATAATATGTGAATTCGGAATTCTGTATATGTCAATTATATGTCCATTATAGATAATGGACGATAGTTAGACAATGCAAAATTTAAGGAATTTTATTTGGAACTTGGCATTAAATATGTGAGTTCGTCACGAATTTATCCCCAGGCAAATAGGTAGGTGGAAGCCATTAATACAATTTAGAGATAGGACTGAGCTAACGCCCGAAAACCTAAAGGGTCAAAAAGGAGGAAAAGTTGTCAAGTGTCTTGTAGTCCTATCGAACTAGACCCTGGGGTTTGAGAAATGAAATCCTCATGTGATAGCATTCAACTCAAAAGCAATGGTTCCTATTGATATCGGCATACCAACTGAGCGGGTAGAAAGACTCTTTGATGAAGAGCAGAACAGCGAGGCTCTATTTTTAAATTTAGCTTTGCTTGAAGAATGGAGGAATGCCTAACAATGACGAGTTTCGATTGTTCAAATTTGGCTTGGTTCTGTTTTAGTTGGTATATTGGCCCTCTCGTGTTTCTTTTAGCTTGGCAGAATAGGTTGCAGCCCGTTTTGCAGCTTCTAACAGTCGAATCTCATCTTGAAAACATTTGACATTGCACCTCAGCAGTCCCGAAGCTCACAACAGCAGCTCCATGACATGTGAGAGGAAAGGCCTGTCAAAGAAAAGCACAGACAATATGACTCGACTTAAACAAAAAAAATAATAATAATAATACAATGTTAGAGTGTAGATTTACTCCATCGACTCCACTAAGCATCTGGTTGAGGTAATTTGTCATTGAGGTGTGTTCAACACCTTGAATCCGACTAGTGGCTTTTCTTCTGAATGTTCAGGAAACTTTATCTACCGCTTTGAGGACTTCTTCTCTGAGCACTTTCGTGACAAAAGGGAGATTGAGATGAAGGCTATTGTTCGCAAGAGAGCCCGATTCATGGCAGTCTTCCTCTGTAATACTTTTACCCTTGTCTTTTTCAGGAGTCTTCGATTGAGTCTCATTAATTCCATGTGGGATGCTGGGGGCTGTCAGTGAAATGTCATACCGAACGGTCCCTGACTGGACTATAATGGCAGGAGATGGAGTGATAACACAACTTTTATCTCGGTCTTTTGTTCCCTCCTATAAAGACTGACTTACTATGGCCTGATGCACTTTGTCTGGTTGTTGCAGCCACGTGTTGTTCGGTCTGAGTAGTCATATTTTGTTTGGTCACTACATTAAATATGCTCGACTATTCGGCTTGAGGGCGAGAAGTAAGGGGTTGAGAACCCATTTCACCAGTTTTGCAGAGATGTTTACGTTTGTTGGCAAATCTGGAAGCCGGACGAGATGACATGTCTACTAACATGAGAGAGATGAGAAAATAACTCAAAAGAAAAAAAAAACAACAGAATACAAGTTACAGTTGAAGAATAAGAAGATAGTGGTTTACCTCTTTCGATTGTGGGTGAAGCCCATAATTTCTCAAATTTTCGTTGGTCAGGAGAAGTTCTTTGTAGTAATCTTTGACTGATAGTGTTGCACACCCAGCCAATATTGACCTTGACTCTTTGATCAGAGCAGGCGGAGGGTCAATTAGGGTTACAAAACCGAATACGCAATCAATAGTGAGATAAAATCTGTAATTCATATGCAATATAGAAACTTACTCAATGTGCTACATTCAGTTGGAACTTCACATAATGGGGCACCGTCGGAGTTTAGAGCCAACCATTCCAAAAAAATGTCGAACTATTTTTCCTTCCAATTTTAATGGAAGTTGGTCCATTTACAATGAAAGTGAACACCTTCTTCGTATTAAGTCTGTACAATAGGGTGGCTATCTCCTTTTGACACCACATAGATAAAATCGATTGGGTGCCCTAGAATACTTCTCGACAATGTGGGTCACCAACAATTGTTCTATGGAGAGAATATCAAATCCAACTTTACTGAACCTCCACCATAAATACCAAAACCCTATTAAAGTACTCCATTCATTTACTAGGAAGGGGCTATATTGTTGATATTGTAGAGAAATAGTTGAGCTAAAAGATGTAGAGGAAGACGAACCCCATATTCTAAAATTTGTGGGTAGAAGTTAATCCATCCCGTAGGAGGTTTCTCAAATTGTTTCACCCTCAAGTGGCACCCAAGTTCGATATTGTCTGGGATGGAATAGGTAAAGGAAATTCCTCACGACAGGTCGATGGACTACAGTTCAAGCTAGGGTTACGACTACGATCGAAATAAAAGCAAGAAGGGGCTCTAGACCTAGGGGCGTTAGTGTCAAAAACATTCATCCTAGCCATCTAACCCACATAATTCTAGAAAAAGAAGCAAAAGACAAAAGGAATTTGGGTTAGAAATTACCTAGAAGGAGGGAAAGTGCAAAGAGATTCGAGCAAGAAGAAAACACCCTCGACGAACTTTGGGGATGATTTGAGAAGTGAGGAGTCAATTTATTTATGAATCTAGTAAACTATGTGATGGCAAGCGAAATGATCGGTTGAGATTTAACCCTAATGGAGTGCGTTTTGAATATGTTGCTTATTGAGCATTTGTTGTCCGTAGACACGCAGTTGTCAATCTCGAAGAGGGTCCTACATGAATTGATGACATAGATAATTTGACTAACGTGTAGTGATCAACTTTCAAAAAATTGAAATAATTTAAATATCCCAAAATGAGGGCTAATGATGGAGGTCAAATTCCAAACAAAGTACACGTCATCATTAGAGAGATAGTTCAACTCTACTCGTATTAAGCAAAGGGATATATAGTTCGGCTCTACACGTATTAAGTAATCAACTAAAATATATCGAACAATCACAATCCCTATTAGTATTTGCCGAACAATACTTATGTCCATGAATAATAACTGCTCAATTGCACCTCTTGTCGCTTTGCATAATTGTTGCTTGAGATCTTGCTGTAATCGTTGAGTGCGTACGATCTTCATAAGACGTCCAAATCGTCGTCTCTTTCAAATAAAAATCGCCTTCTCTTTCAAATAAATATCAAAATAATTGGGCAGAAAGGTACCCGAACATTGAATTACAAATCCGAATTCTCCTTAGTTATTCCATTACAGACAAACGCATCAAAGTCATAATTCTTGTTTGTTTTGCAGGATTTCGAGAACTTTTGAAGATTTTGATGCTTTAATAACTTTTTAGCTAAAACAGATACCGTAAGTTTGACTTTTTTTTTAAGTATGTTTTACATTATATTTAAGTTCAATTTTAATTTGAATGGTGCTATTTTTATAAAATTTCCTTCAAAGGAAAAATTAGTTTTTTTAAACAATAAATGAGTTACCTTGTTTACCCCTAGACTTCAATAGCTTGATAAATAATAAAAATATTCGATGGGAAGGATGGAACATTAACTTTAGAGGTTGGAGAGATAGGTTAAGGTCATGTTTACTAGGAGGAAATGAGAATCAATTTTTTCATTTTTTAACGGTGTTTACTAAATTATAGGATTGGAATCATACCGTGGGTCTCACCTCAAACTTGACAATGTCATTCCCTAAAAAGGGATCTCATTCCTCCCCTGCATCTTAATCAATCTCATTTACATTCTTTTATTTCGTACACCACACACATTTATTAAAGTTATTTTATTAGTTTTATCCTTTCTCTCATACATTTTTTAATTCATTATTTTATATACTTTTATTACTTATTTTTATTTATATTACTGATAACTTTTCTTCTCATGAAAACTTATGCATTTTATTATAAAAGGTTATAAATTTACATTTAATTTTTAAAATTTTAAATTTTACTTTGTTATTATTAATTAATATGAATGAATTTTTTAAAATAGAATTCACTGTTATTGAATATTAAAAGAATGAAATTTAATAATATTTTATATTAAATGACGATTCTTCTGATAAAAAAGTATTTTAGTTGATGTAATTTTACAAAATAAATTAAAATTTATTATTATTTTAATTAAAAAGGATGAGCATGTTTGTAGTTATCAATAAATAACAAAAGGGTACACTAGTAACTTTTATAAATTTGATTTTGACGATTTTAGGCAATTTTAGTAAACAATATGAAAGGAATTCTGATTCCGGTTTCATAAAATTTTTGATAAATAACATCAAAAGAATACCATTTTAAGGATCCCATAGATAAAATAAGAGATCTAACAAGGGTTTGTAATATAGATGGGTTGCTCCTCTTATTCCCAATTAGTTTTGAAATGTAACCCTATAAATATTAATATAACATTATCATTTCGATTGATTTTTATTCCCATTCATTCTCATTGTGATTGTTGGTAAATAAACATGGACTAAATCTTTCAATAAAATTATAAAAGATTGTGTGAGAGAAAGGAAATTAATTTGGTTCGAGAGAGGAAGTCAATCACATATATATTCATAGTATATTGGAACTTATTTTTTAGTAAAACATGTAGGAGTGAGGATTCTAACTCACGAACTCCCGGTCGAAATTAGATATTGTAAAAATAAATCACTGTAGAAAACAAATCGTAAGATGAGATCAAGAAGAAAGAACACAATAGTTTATAGTGGTTCCACCAAGTTGGTGTACATCCACTCTTCAATCAATATCTCAAGCTTCTATTAAGAAATGGTGTAAAAATACACCCTCCAGCACACATTGGAAGAACACCCTCCCCTTCTCTCAAAGGCTCAAAAATTCTCTGTAATTTTTCACTCTCTCACTCAGTAAATGGGCTCAAGGGATAATGGGCCCAAGCAAAAACATAAAGGGCCAAGAGTTAATTCTTAAACAAATTTGCTCAAGTGTCATTTGCATCACAGATATCTTTTAACTGGTTGACACTCATAGTTTATCTAAATTAATTGTAGGTGTTAGTTATTTTTTATTTTACTTTTTGTAAATTAAAATTTAGGTTGTTATGAATGTAATATAATTTAGCTTTAAATACTATGGTCACTGTACCTTCAGTTTTAGTTTATTAGTCTATATACTTTCGGTTTTAGTTTATTTGTCTATGTATGTACTCTCAAAATGTCAATTTTAGTTTCTTACTTTCAAATTTTTTTCAACCATTTTAATCTTGTACTTTTGATTTGGTGTTTGAACTTTTGAAAAATGATCATTTTTTGTTCTTTCATTTTTATTTTTTTATCTCATTTATTTCCATCATAGTTCGTGACACTTCACTTCTGGAAATGTAATAATATTAAAGAGTTTCCTTGAATATAGAATTTGTGTGTTAAAATTTTCAAATAGAAAGCTAAATGATCCCTTTTTAAAAGTGCGTGCACCACAGTAAATTTTTTGACATTACAACGACTAAGATGTAAAACATCTAAAACTAGATTGATCAAAATGAATATTTTAAAATTATAGAGATCAAAATAAACAAAATAAATGGTACAAAGACTAAAATAGTATTTATACTTGTAACTACCTTTTAAAAAACACAAGATCCTATGAGAAGAGTATATCAAACTTCTATCGTAGAAACTATGAATCAGATAAAATAAAACATATTACATAAACATAATCATCGAGCTTCATCAATTTATTTACTTTTTACAAATTGAACAATTAAAAGCTAACAGATGACTTCAAAAGGAAAAGAAAAACTTCGACACAACATAATCAACCGTATTAGAAAGAGATGGAGCTCGAACCGTGCCATACAAGGTTATTATCTAACCTTCTTTTTTAAGGTGAGACACAATGTCCTTGGTGATACCATTCATGAGGTCGAGATATTGGTAAGGATAAGGAGAACCATCATCGAGTTTCTCGTATTCTAAGGTCAGAACCGCCAAACTATGTTGAGGACTCTTTGGTACAACTTTATATGTTCCGTTGAAGGTTTTATAATGCTTGAACACGTCTCCTTCCAATCCGATTAAAGTTACTGAGAGATTTTTGTCATCAAATTCCACTCGCTCTTTGAAAACTTCATCCTTACCATCTTATCAAATTACATGCACAAACAAAGAGAGGTGAATTGCTTGGAATAAAAAGAGGGTCCTTAATGAAAATAAATAAATCAATAAAGCCCCATTGTTTTTAATTTTTTGTTTTTTTAAAAATTAACGTTTTTTAAAAACAGATCTTAACTCTCAGCCAAAATAAAAAAAAAACAAGTTTTTCAAAATTACTTTTCTTAATTTTTAAGATTTTGCTTGAAAGTTTTTAAAAGACATATATCAAAACAAAGAAATACATAGGTGAAACTTGAGAATATTATTTATAAGCGTTATTTTCACAAACAGAAAATCAAAACAAAATAATTTTCAAACGGAACTTAATAAATCTATCGTTGTTGTTATACGAACCGACGCGATACTTCCAGATCTTGATGGAGCCATGGCCATGGGTGTCCCAGTCACCTTCATGAACCTCAACTTGTTGGATGAATTTGGGTGAGATCTTGGGAACATGGAAAGTTTCATCTTTGAAGAGTCTGTAGTACTTCTCTGCAGGAGCATTTATTTCCAATTCACTCACCAACTTCCCAACAAGAGACATGGTTTCAACTTCAACA